TTCTTAAGCATTAACTTTTATCTTAAGTTAAAAAAACTAACTAAATTAATAAATTTAATAAAATAATATTAAGCTTTTCTTACCTTTAATTTTTTTAATATAAAAAAGATATTTTATAAATATAAAGAATTAAGAACTTAGCATATTATAACCTTTATAACTTAATAATTTTTTAATTTTTAAAATATTATATTCTTACTTAAAGAATCTTTATATTATAATTATACCTTATTTAAGAAATATTAATAATATAAATTAATAAAGAATTATAAATTTATTATTATACTTATTTATATACTTAATTATTAAATAATAGTAATTTTTAATAAAATAAAGAATTATTACTTATTATAAAATAGTTTTATATTAAGAAATAAAAAGAGTAAAATAAATAAGGATATTAAAGCGCTTATTTATAAATATTTAATAATTACTTTAAAAAATAAAATATAAGATTTTAATAAGGAATTTATATTAAAATTAAAATAAATTAATAAAGTATTTTATAAATAGTATATTATTAAGTTTATTAAAAATTACTTTAAAGAAAATTAAAGAAAGAATAATTAAAAGATATAAAATTAAGTTAAGGCTTTTTTAATTAAAATTATGCATTATAAAATACTTAAAATTACTATTAGCATTATTACTTAAATATTTATTATTTAATTAAAGCTTAATAAAATTAATAAAGCCATTTAAATATTTATATTAATTCTTCTTATTAAAATTAATAATATAAAAGTAATTAAAGCAAGAAGTAAGCTTTTATTATAAAGGGATATTATTTAATAATAGCTATTTAAATTATAATATATTAAGATTATTATTAATTATAAAAAAAGCATAAGAAAAATAATACTTTTAATGTAAATTAATTTAATAACTTAATTTTAAATATTTAATATATAATAAGATATAAACTTTTAAATAGCTTAAAATTAATTAAATATAACTTTAATTAAATAAACCTTTGGCTTAAGTATTATATTATAAGATATTTTAAAGCTAATAAGGAATATTTACTTTAATATATATAAGGATCTTTTTTATTTATTTATTTTAATAATAAATATAAATAGAATTTAAAGTATATTAATTAATTTAAAATAGTTAAAATAATAATAAAATTTACTTAAAAATAATTTAAAAGGCTTATAAATAAGTTAGCTAAGTAATTAAATATAAAATATAAATATTAAAAGTAAAAGCATTATAAAAAGCAAAAGTAAAAGCAAAAGCTTTGCAAAAAGCAAAAGCAAAAGTTAGCAAAGCTAATATATTATACTTAATATAATAATTAAAAAAAAGAATAAATTTACTTTTTATTTTATAAAGATATTTAAATCTTTAATAATTATATTAATATTAATTATTAAAGTAAACTTTAATAATTAAGAAAATATAATTAATAAATATATTATTAAGTAAGTTTTAAAAATATTTAAAGCTTTTATAAAAAAGTAAAAATTATAATAAGATAAGTAAGTAAGGAATTAAAAATAATAATAATAATTAAGATTATAATAAAGTAAATTTTATAACTTAAAAGCTTAATTAAAAATAGCAAAGTTTTATTTTAGCAATCTTTATAATATTTATTATAAAGTACTTAAAAAGGGGTATATTAGTAAGTATAAGGAATTATATAAAAAATAATATTGCATTAAATTTTAGCTAGCTATAAAAAGCTAGCTTTTATATTTATTTTAAATATTCTTTTAAAAAATAAACTCTTTTCTTTTTTTATATATTTAATGCTTTAATTAAGCTTTTCTTATTTTTTTAAGAATTTTTAAAATATTTATCTTTTTCCTTTTTCTAGTTCCCTTTTATTCCTATTTTCCCTCTTTATTGCATTAAAGCTCTTCCTTAAGTTATCCTTAAGAGGGTTTAGCAAAACCTGTCCCCCATTATTTAGGTGGCTCGTTTTTAATATATTACTTAAAGTATATTAATAAGTAAAATTTATAATATAATAAATAAAGTAAATATTAAAATATTTTAATTATAATAATTAAAATAATTATAAAATAATTATTATTATTAAATATGTTTTTAATTATTTATTTAAATACTTTATAAAGCTAAAAATAATAAAGATAAAATACCTTATAATTAATATTATATTATTATAAAAGTTATATAAAATAAGGAAAATTATTAAAAAAGAATAAATTAATAAAAAATAACCTTATTAATATAATAATAAAATTAACTTTAAATATTATATTATAAAAGCTTATTAATAATAATAAAGCTTATAAAAGCTTATTAATAATAATAAGCTTTATATACAAGTAAATAAGTTAATTTAAAAATTTAAAGTAACCCCTTTTTATTAAAAGAAAAAGTAACTTATTATTAATACCTTTTTCTTTTATTTTTATTATTATTAATTTAAAACTTTATATCTTTTAAACTTAAACTTTTAATATAAACTTTAACCTTTTATATTTTAATGTTTTATATTTTAACTTAAACCTTTTTAATATTTTATTATATATAAAGATAATATTATTATTAATAATAATAATAATAATAATTATTTTAAAGTTAACCTTATTATTATTATTAGTTTTTATTATTATTTATTAATAATAATACGCGAGAGGGTTGCGAGGAGGAAGGAAACTTTCCCTTCCCAAGGAATCCATGGTATGGGTGTAGAACCCATATTAACTTAGTGTGGCGAAGATAGGTGGCCGCGTTATCGCGGAGAGGTAACGGCGTAGGGGTTTTTTCCAGCTATTTTGCATAGTTTTTCCCTATGGGAGATTCGTAGAGGGACCGCATACTACATGGTTTTCTAGCTTTAAATAGTTTTAAAATAGCATGAATAAAATATTATTATTATTATTAATAATATTTAAGCTAATCTTTATTAAATTTATTTATAATTTATTAACTTTTCTTATAATTATAAAATAAATTAATAATTATTATAAAGCTTTATATTAAAAATATTTATTTTATTTATAAAATTTTTATAAAACTTTTCTTTTTTATTATAATAAAAAATATTAATAATTATTATGGGCTGGCCTTAAAGGGGCTGCAGGCTGGCTAGCGCCTTTTCTTATAAGCTGTAAAGCAGCAACCTTTTAATTATTAAGCTAAAAGATATATAATAATTCAAGCTCCCTTAAATTATTTAACTATATTATATAAAGCTTAAGCAATAACCCAAGCCCATTATAATAATAATTTATAAAGATTAATTAATATTTTTATTAATATATCTTATAAAAATAATAATAATAAGTAAAATTATTTAATAAATATTATATTTATTATTTATATTAAAAATATATTTCTTATAATTATTATTATAATTATTATTATAATTATTATTATAATTATTATTAATATAATTAATATTAAAAATAATTTTAATATAATCTTTAAATAAAATTAAGATTTTCTTATAAATATTATAATTATAATTTTAATTAATAAAATAAATATTATAAATATTATTAAACTTATAAGAAAAGTTAAAATTACTTTAAATAATAAAAATAAGGATAAATTTATTAATTTTTATAATAAGGTTATTATTAATAATATTTATTTAATAAATATTAATATAAATATTAATAATAATAATCTTTATTTATTTAATATTAATAATAATTTAATTATTATTAATAATAAAAATTATAAAAATTACCTTAAAAGTTAATAATTTTATTATTATAAAAAGTATTAAAAAAGTAAGCTACTTATTAAGCTTAATTTTTAAAAAACTATTAAACTTAATAAGCTAAAAGCTATAATTATAACTTAAATTAAAATATTTTTCTTAAATAATATTATTATAATAATTATTATTTAAATTATTAATAACTTTTAATATTAAAATAAATAAATATTTTTAATAATATAATTAAAAAGTTATATATTTATATTAAAAATATTAAAACTTTTAATATAAAATTATATAATATTTTTAATAATAAGAATTATTAAAGTAATTATTATTTTAAATATAAATTTATTATAATCTTTATAATTAATATTTTAAAAAAAACTTTAATTTTAAGTATTTTTTATATATATTAAATTAAAAAAACTAAGTTATTAAAAAGTTAAATTATTATATTAACTTAAATTTAAAACTTTTTATATTAAATTATTAATAAGTATATATAAAACTTATATATAAAGAAATTTATTATAAAATATAATTATTAAATTAATTATAAAAAAGTTAATAAATAAAAAAATTACTTATAATATTTAATTTTAAAAAAATAAATAATAATTAAAAGAAATTAAATTAAAATAATATTAAATATAATTTAATAATAAAAATATAAATAATTTTAATAATATTTATATTATAAAAATATATAATAAAAATAAATATAAGTTAAAAAGTTTAATATTAACTTTATAAATATTAACTTTCTTTATAAAGAAAAAAATTAAAATTAAGGTTTTTATAAAAAAGTTAATAATTTTTATAAAATAATATCCTTAAAAGTTAATTATTAAAAATAATAAGATTTTAATTAAAATTAATAAATATAATATTTAAAATTTAAGGAATAATATAATAATAAAAATTATATAAACTTATTTTAAAACTTATAATAAGTTATAATTTTAAATTATTTTAATAATATTTATAATAAAGATTATATATATTTAATATATTATAAATTATAATTTTAAATTAATTATAATAAGAATTATATATACTTATTAAAAGAAGAGAAAACTATAAGTATTAATAAGTATAACCCTTGCCTATACCCAACTACTTTAGTTATCCCCTACGGGGCATGTAGCCTTTCAGAACTTAGACAAAACAACACCAAAAAACGATTGCTTCCCCATACGATTATCGTACGTACGAGAGACCTACCAACATACGTCAGTCCCTCGCAACGAGGAGCCCCGTACGTCAGGATCGGGTCCAGGCACACAGCTGCTCCCATGGACGTGCTTATTCCACCTCGGCCGAGGACAAGACGATCAAGGGCTTCACGTTCATGGAACCCTTCGCAGGCATCGGAGCTTTCGGCGTGGCACTGACTAAGCTCGGCGGCACCTGTGTCTACGCCAACGAGATCGACCGTCATTGCGTCGAGACATACGAAAGGAACCACTGCAGAGGGGGCCCTGGCATCTCAAAAGTCGACAGACGCGACATCAGAACAGTCACGCTGGCCATGAGCCATCCCTCGTGCATGCTGCCAATAGCTACCATCGCCTGCGGCGGATTCCCCTGCCAAAGTTTCAGCAACAATGGTAACAGGGAGGGCCTGGGTGACAAAAGGAACGGGGATCTCATCTATGCGTTTGTCAAGTTGCTCATCCACCTGCAGAATCCCATCGTGCTCTTGGAGAATGTCGCAAGCTTCGCAAAGGTTAAAAAACATGGGGCCATCGAGGTGGCGCAGAAGGAGCTCGAAGAGGCTGGCTACCACGTGTCATGGCATATTTACGACGCAGTAGACTTCAACCTAGCCCAGAACAGGGACAGATGCTTTATCGTTGGAATCCGCAAAGACCTCGCCGCGGGTCCCTTTGAGTGTGAGTTTGGTCGGGACCAGTCAGGATAGAGAACCTGTACTGCACCCCATAGACAACCCATAACCACTGACGCTGACTTAACATAGTCAAACAACCGCCAAGCCGCCGTCAAGACCTTCCCTTGACCGACTTTCTAGACCTTCGGAACGCAATCAGGGACCTCAGTCAATACACCCTAGTAAAGTAAACGGCATATTGGTGCCAAAGCGGATCATCAACGGGAAGCAGTCAGAAATCGAATGGAACCCCGGGACGCCCGGGGATAACACGAGCCACAAGGGTCTCAGAACTGTTGGAAAGAGGAAGGTTACCTACAATTCTGGCAGCATCATATATCACCACTCGGGGTTTGCCGCCTGCATTACCACCGTGGGAGGCGATTGGTATGAGGTGCCCGGCCCGGACGGTAGAGACATCATCGTCCGACTCAGTCTCCGCGAAAGACTCAGGCTACAAGGCCTCCACGATGACCTTGAGCTCTCGGGCAGTCTGACGCAGGCACGGCGACAGGTCGGGAACTCGGTTCCTCCGCCAATGGTCGAGTGGATATTCCGATGCCTACAAGACCAATTTCCACATATCTTGACCTCTGATACTTACTCTACCACCGAAGTCTGGGACCGAGTCCAACCGCGCAACTGGAGTCCGCAGGAGAGGGATCGTGTCACTCGACAGCTAAAAAAACCCGCACCAACACAAGTCACGGGGCAAAGCACGGCGGGATGCTCAGAAGGCCCTGAGCGAAGAGAACGGGGCTCTGGAGGCATCAGATTCAGAGAGTGTCAAGACTGGACGTGCTACTGGCAGTGGGAAGTCTGATTCAACGAGGACGAAGAGGTTGAATAAGCTGGGCGAGCAGATAAAGGTCCTGGAGAAGGGAATAGCGTCTCTGAAGGCGGAACACAAGCTTCTGGCCAAGGCTCAGCCAGGGCGGACATAACTGACCCTATGAGCGATGATGACTGGCACAGTGAAGCGTGAAAGGTAAACAATGTGTGTCCATAGTACATCACCCAAGCAACGTGATGGTTTCTCTGCCACGTCTTCGGCTTCAAGAGGCTCTACTTGTCAAACAGCGACCGCATCTAGTCCGAAATAGCCAGAGCGGCAACAACAAAACCCGTCCTCAATCAGTCAAAACGAATACACAATGGCACCTTAGAACGCCATACCCCCAAAAGGCAGACCCCTCGGCCTCCTGCCATAGTCAGACTCGCTGTCCGAATCACTGCTATCGTACCCCTGACCGCCAAAGTAAGGAGGGAATCCCATAGGCATCCCCATGGGCATTGGCACCGGCATCGGCCCAAACGGACCCCCAGGCATGCCGCCGCCCGCCGGCGGCCCTCCGCCTCTGGTAGTGACGGTCACAGTAGCCCGCCGTCGAGCTCCTCCGCCGCGGCTGCCGCGTGGCCTCCTTTGCGCACCCGCGGTGGCAGCACTCATGCCTCGGGCAGAACGAGCTCCTGCCCAGCTCTGCGACGCGGTCACCGCACCGCCCGCCATCCCCAGCACACGCGTGCGCGGCGCAGTAGCTCGACATCAGGAGGGCCCCTCCTCCTTCCCCACCGCCTCTGCTGAGCAGCAGGCTGGCGCGGAGGGAGCCCGACGCCAGGTCCAGGCCGGCGATGGTGTTCTTGCGCAGCTGCTGGCACGCCGCCACCGTGCACTTGTGCGCCTCGCAGTACTGCAGCGACGCGAAGCTGCGCTGGTTGCGGCAGCTGCCCAGCTCGCACGAGTGGTCCTTGCAGTAGGTCTGGCCCCTTTCGAGGCGGTTCATGCAGCGCTTGCCGCCGAGGTTGGTCGCAGGGCATTGTGTCTTGTGGTCTGGAGCCCATGGCGTCAATCCGCCGACGTGCTCACTCTGAAGAACTGAAGAGGGGCACGGAGGACTCACGGTTCTCGCACGTCGGGTGCCTGATGTCCCCCTCGGGCCCCTTCTCAATAAAGATGTACTCCTTGCACCCCTGTTCCCGACAATAGCGATGATCATCGCACCGGTTCCTGCCCAAAGCAGCAGGCTTGGGACAGTGCTCCACCCAGCAGATGTGCAGCGCGCAGTGTTCAGTCCCGGGGGCCCTCTGGTCCCTCCGCTCGAAACACCTCTCCGTCTTGCACTGATGGTCCATGCAGTACCGCCCAGCCCCCATGTCCAGCCTCCCGTTCCCGCACATGGGCTCCAAGCAGATGTGCTCGCTGCAGTGCTGCCTGTTTCCCGGGGCGCGCTCGCTCTGGCACGACGCCTCCTGGCAGTAGTGCAGGCCACACCACCTGACCGTCGCGCCCGTGTCCCGCGTGTGGCAGCGCGCCGTGCAGCCCTCCCTGGCGCAGCGCCGGTGGCTCTCGCAGCTGCGGCTCGCGTCGCCCCTGTCGCCCCTGCCGGCGACCTCGGCCGTGCACGTCTGCGCCTCGCACGTGTGTGTCTCGCAGAAGAAGGACCCGTCGTCGACCAGCCGTGGCTTGTCACACCAGTTGTGCGGCGCCGCGAGGCAGCTGTGCTGCGGGCAGTACCCCTTGCTGCCTTCGTGCTTGCCCTGTTCGCAGTGCGGGTATTTGCAGCCGTCTGGTGCTCGGGTGCGGCGGTCAGCCACACTTCCTTGCTCTGGCAGCTCAACGGTGACGACAGCGCCGGCCGAGGATGGACTTACGGTCATTGCAGTACTTGAACCTCTCCGGGTTACCGTCCTTGACGCTCTTCATGCAGCTGAATCCATCAGGGCTCATGGCCTGGCACCGAAGATCTGAACGCCATTAGCACACAGCCGTCTTCGCTCCCTAAACAGGAAAAAGCGCGAGACTTACGCATGTCGCAGTACTGCCAATTCGGGTTCCTCCCGTTCCTTTGTTCTTGGCAGACCGTCGAGCCTATGACCTTCTGGCAGTGGTGCTTCTGGCAGTATGGAAGGTCGATTCTCTTGCCGTATAGAGTCACCTTGCCAATAGGTTCTCGGCATGCGCGGCATTTGCGATGCGTCTTGCTACGCCTGTGCCCTCTCCCGTGCCGACGACCGTAGGGGCCGCCGCCCATGAGCATCATGTCCCACATCGTGGTTGTGCTTTTCTCACTTTCAGTGAGGACAAACTGCTGACCCGGCGTAGAGCCTGGTCAAATTCTTGGGAGTTGATGTTGGGAGCGGACCCTAGACGAGTGAGCTGATCCACTGGTTCTTGTCGTACGATTGTGTTAAAGGCTGGCATTCGCTGATGATGAGGTGTTGAGACCTTGTGAGCCCGCGCACCACGAGCTGTGGCTTCACCTTCTTATGAACATGGCTGAATCGTCAAGGCTGACAGGACTCAGCGGCTACGGCCCACGAGACAAGATTGCATGAGACAACCAAGCTGAGACTCGCCCGGCAATATTTGCTAATGATGCAGACCAAACTGTGAATGTGGAAACGATGGCTGATCCAGATCAACGCGGAGTAGCAGTAGCCCTTAGACTGTGACGCTCCGACGGAACAGATCAACCCATACCGGTAGGGCGAAATGTCAAACAGTGTCTGCTGGCGGGGTTTGGCTTCGAAGAGAAAGGGAAAACTTCCCCATGTCGCACTTGAACAGCAGCAGCGATTCGCTTTATTAGCTGAGCACCTGTTCCAGCAAGCTATTTTCGCAGTTTGATGAGTGTTCCAGCCAGCCAGGCGGGAGTGAGTGTAGCCATACCATGAGGCTAGTCCCGAGGAATCTTCGAGGACATTCCTCCACGTAGGATATGACGGTAATTTCTCGTTGTCGATAAAGGCTTACATGGCGATAATTAATGGCGACGTCCTCATATTGGCCACGATGCACGTATTGTCAGGCCGACATCAATGAACGGCGCCAGCAGACCTGGTTTTCGAGCACGGCATCCGCTCAGGCTCTCCAACAAACATGATTCAAGTCGCTGGCACGCCTGGAAGGTGAAAGACATAGTAAATGAACTTACGGGATAGGTCATTTCCCTTCCAGACCACCATTCTCTAAGCTGATTCAGGCAGCAGACAAGCAGTCGGTACCTTGTCTACCTCACGGAGCGCCGATTACCCTCAAACACATCTTAAAGTGGCCCATCTGCGTCAGAGAACTGAACTCGATTCAATACAATATGCTATACAGACCAGGCCCTATTAAACGCCCTGGACTGGGAATCGTGGTATCATCGGGAGCAAACAACGTGCTGGGTGGCTGTGGGACCAAAGCAGATTACAGATGGAATCAGGGGGTCGCCCGGTCTTGTTTGCCACATGTGTCTTCTCAAATTGGGCTTCGTCTTGCCTTCGTCTCTTCTTTTCCTCCAACCGATGATCGCTTGCCGTTGCAACGCCTAGTTTGTTTGTGTGCCTGGGATCCGGTGAGACCGCGGTATGGGCCCCATTCGCTACGCGTTTTTCAACGCCGCCAGTAAAGAGTTCTTCAGGTGCTCGTCGTCTGCTGTGCTCCCTCCATCCCCAGCTCTTGGCTGCGTGTCCGTTGTCGCAGCTGTCGCAACTGGCTGTGCCGTCTGCGCCGGAGGTGGGTCACTTGGATGTGTTTGCTTGGGTGCTTCAGCTGAGGCTGCGGGTTGCGATGATGTGACCGGCTGTCCCGGAAGCTTCTGGGCTGGTAGTGACGGAGAGGCAGCTAAAGATGCTACTGTAGGCGTCAACGGCGAAGGGGTGGGCGTTGGAGGCGCAGGCATAGTGATCGGCACACCCTTGGGCGCTGGGCTCTGGGTTTGGGGTTGGCTTTGGGACTGGCCGTGGGGCTGGGGCTGGGGTTGGCCCGATGCCGCAGTACCTGTAGGACCTTGGACTGCAGTAGGGGCTGGTCCTGCTGTAGCTGTGGGAGCAGGCCGTGAGGTCGTGGGTGCGGAGACAGGAGCAGGTGACCGTGTTTGCTGTTGCAGCACTGCAGCTGATCCAGGTCGCGGGGGTAAAGCCATGGCTGCCGGCCTTTGTGGCTGCGGCTGTGCATACTGCTGGGGTTGCTGGTGGGACATTGGTGGTGTATTTTGTTGTGCTGGTCTCCGCTGATGGGCATTATACTGAGACTTTGCTGGTGCGCCTGCTTGCTGTAGCGGTCTCTGCTGGTGGATGGGAGCGGGAGCGATGCTCTGATGATGAGCAGACGGTTGGGCCGTGGGCCGAGATGCAGCGGTTTCTTGTTTTTGGTGCGAATGGGTAGCCTGTGAGGGCGCAGGAGCAGAATGCTGTGATTGCTGGGGCCGATGCTGCTGCTGTTGGTTCTGTTGATATGGTTGATGCTGTTGGTGATAACTCGGTTGTGGTTGGTAGTGCTGCCCGCTGGGGACACCTGCTGTCGCAGGATGCGAGCTCGGCGCGGCCTGATTCAGTCTAGCTGGTACAGCTGCCGGCTGGCTATGAGTTGCGGTGGCGGTGCCGTTCGAATAAGAAGGAGCGTAACTGCCCTGCATCCCACTGCTCGGGTTTACGGTGCCCTGGCGTGCTTGTTCCTCTGCTTCCTTTCTCGCCGCCTGGCCTGGAGCTCGCGTCTTCAGCTCCCCGGTCACACACTGCAGATAGTACGGCATCTCGGAGTTGGTCTTGAGAAAGAACAACTTCAGGTTGCGAGCCTTGTCCTTCAGCTGCACCTGGGTGCGGTCCTTCAGGATATCGGACAGCGTCCCGTTCAGCCCAAACAACTGCAGGATCTGGCTCCAATGTGGCCCTTTAACCATGTCGAGGCCTTGCATCAATGCCTTCTCCTCTTCCGGCGTCCACGGTCTCCTGGTGGAATGTAAGCCTTCCCTGCGAACATGTGCTGTTGATGACTTGGCAACAGCTGCCTGTCGCGCCCTCTCATATAGTACAGCAGTAGGCAGTGATTGTGTGGGTGGTAGGCTCGAACCGTCTGCTGTTCCGGCTGAGGCTTGCCCGTAGCTGTTAACATCAATTGGCGCCAGCTTCTCGGCGATTAGCGACGCGAGGCCCGTCGCTTCGTAGCCAGAGTCCAGGTCGGCTCCATTGGGTCGTCTCTGGCCTGGGAATGCTCCAGTGTAGGTAGACGGCGGCTGAACACCTTCCAAGAGCAGGGCCTCTTCCTCTCCGGGCTCATTCGGTATCTCAAAGCCATGTCCTTCTGCATAGTCCACAATAGACTCAAAGTTCGATCGGATAAAGGCACTAAGGTTATCCAGGAAAGTTGCGAACTGGTATTTGGCCTCGAGTTGTCCTATTTTCCATCAGTCATTCCAGCCCAAACTGCCGTAGGAAGGACAAGACTTACGCCTCTTCTCCTTGTCGTGCCCTACCGCTTTTAGAAGGTTGCGTCTCTCCGTAAATGGCCGTACAAAGTCGTCCTCGTTTATGCCCGAGATGTTGAGGTCTGACTCTCTATAGTATGCCCTCAACTTACCTTCCAGCTCTTTGGGAAAGAATTTGTCCATCAAGCTGTTCCTCGTGGACTCTTTGTCTTCCATGACATTAGCGTATGCAAGGAAGCTCTGAGTTTTTTGGTCAAGGTAAAGGGCGGAGATGTCCTCTGTGATCATGCCGTTTTCAGGAATCATGATGTTCAGGAAATAGTCATGGGCTGTAGCCATGGTTGGCCCGCCTGGGCCGTAAAAGCTCGCGCACATATTGGCAAGGTTCGCCATCTGGATTGTCTCGCGGTCTCCCGGGTCGTGAATGTCGAGGTCGTCGGCGTTGAGGAAAGCCGTGGAATCCGTGAACAGCTTCAGGGTCGCCATGAACGTGGCTCTCAAGGCAACGTAGACTTTGCCACCCTCCGTCCTTGCATCTCGGATGATCTTGTCCGTGACTTCAGATGGCTGCTGAAAGAGCGCCAACAGTATCTGAACGGCCTGAGAAGAGCGTTAGAGCTGGACAGGCTCCTATCTCTTGTAGCTGTGGGCACTTACAAGACTCCCCAGAATCGGCAGGCCCATGGACCGCGAAAAGTAAGTTGGGGTCTCGATGAACTTCATCTTCTCCAGCCGTCGACGTGGCGGCGGCAGGGGCGGAGGCGACGTCAGGTTGTCAATGTCCATGGCATCCTCGGCTCCAGCCACGCCCTTGGCGTCATTAACAGCACCCAACGCGTTTGCCAGCATCGACTCAAGGTCCCAGCTAGACACCCCATCGCCGTTGGTATTCGCTTCTGGACTGATTTCTGGACTGACTTCTGGACTGGGTTCTGCCTCTGCCTTCAAATCGCCAATCTTTTGGATGTCGTGCTCTGGAACATGTTCGGTCTTTTGCTTCTTGTCGGCGCTAGGTTCTTGATCAGGCTCCGGTGTCCTCGACCGCTTCGCAGGGGTCACAGATTCTGCAAGAGGAACGGCAGCGGGCGTAGCCAGAGAGGTGGGTGGATCGGCAGCCGGGGCTGGAACCGGAGGAGGCGCGACGGCGGGGATCGTCGAGGAGGTGCTGGCACCGGCTGCAGCAGTCGGTATCACGGGGGCTGCCTCTTGAGCGGGTGCTAACACGTCAGAGGAACCATTCGTTTCTGACTTGATAGTCTTGCTCGAGGTCGGGCTCTGTGAAGCGTCACGAGGATGGCGGCTATGGTCCGTCTTAGATGTAGCCTCAAGTTGTTGAGAGGCCTCCTCGGTTTTGACGGTGGGTGTGGTCGATTTGGTGGCGGGATTGGGCTCGTTGTTTGGAGTCTCTGTAATCACAACAGATTAGGCCTCGGGCACACAAGTAGCACAATGGTTTCCGGCGCCTATGGCGATGACAATCGCATATCCGAAATCCCCACGGAGAACAGAGGGGGTGGTCTACAGCAACTTACCGCTCCTGGGCTGCGTCGCTAAGGCTGGCGCCGGCGACGCACTCCCTGCAGCGTCCGCCATCTCTTGGCCACCTCGTAAATCATCCAGGAGACTATTGCAGGAGACAGCGACAGTCGGGCGTTGAGAGCTTAGGCGTGGAGGGTTGCGCATGCGTCGCGAGGACGGTTGGGTGGCTGGTCGGCAGAAAACATTCAATCTGCCCAGAAATGCGACGGGGAAGCAGCAGGGTGCCCACAAATCTCCTCACCACCTTCCCAGACTAGACACAATAGCTCCATGCTCCCGGTTCTCGACCACCCTCGAAATGAGCACTGTGCCGTAAGATCACCAGATGCCTCATTCTGAATTTCACAATACATCACGGTGCAATTGTCAGCACGAACAAATGGAAAAGAAAAGAAAAAGAAAAAAGAAAAACAATGCATCCGTTCAGAAGAGTGTCCGTGCTGACTTAGCGAAAACGGCAGGTGGATCGTGTGTCATGAGAACTGACTTAAACACTGCTCGGATGACTCCAGGCGGAACAGCAGACCTCTACTCAATCAAACATTCCGCTTCTCTGTCATCCCGCACATTCAATAGAACTTATTCATTAGGTTGCAAAAGAGAAAGCAAAAAGGAGCAAAACATACAGCACCGGGTATTCGCTGGTCGTCACCGACCCAACTACTAATCCAGCGATTATAGGCTTGACTATGGGAGAGCGGACGGGATCCCGTATTTTCCTATATCTATGGCCGTATGTGCTCAGTAAACGCAACAGAACACCTATATACCTACAAAATATACTTCATTCAGCTTGATGGGCACTAATGTCACACTGTTATCCTGTAATGCTACTATCGTTAGATTCCTGGTGACATGTAAATAGTGTTGATGTTTGACATTAAGTGAGGCAGCCTGTGGATAACAAACCACGAGGGCTACCATTCATGTACAAGATTCGCCATGCTATTAGGAAGACCGTTGTGGACTCATATAGAGCGCCCACCTGAACGAGCAGGAGTTTTCTGGCAATGGTCGCTTCGCTGGGAACAAAAGAAGCTGATTCAATCGACTGGGCGCCTTGACCAGGGACCAAAGCCTCATCGCTGTCATGTCGTGCGTTTCTAGTCACTTAGCCAAGTCTGTGAGCAACAAAAGAACTCTATGGAGTTTGACCCAGCTCAATTTGTAGACATTTGATATTGTTCCACTCACTCGGGTTCGTGGATAACGAATCCTCTATCTTTGCTATTCATTCAGCCCAAGAAAGCGATGCTCTCCCCCGTTTTCATCACTCACGTCACCGTGAGACACCCTGGACTTGACACTCAGTTTGGCCCAATGCATTTTAGAGGAAACAATGTGATTTATCCCTCTGAGCCTATATAAATCGCTCTCTTATATGCACTCAGGCATCGCTCCTCCATTCCCACTCCACGACCAGCAAAGAAAGCTCGAAGCAAGACAATTCTCAAAGTTCTCAAAAATTGAAAACCAGAAGGAACAGCAAAACGTCAGCTTCAACCGATACCTTCAAGAACTGCTCTCAATACCTCAATCTAACGGCTGAGTCCAGTTGAAGAAATTACTTGATAATTAGCCGCAGAGGCCTGAGACACGGCTCATGCCTTCCCGTTCCAGACTCTGGCAAGGAACTCTTCCATCGCTTCAAACTTATAGTCCGGGAAAAGTTGATTGAACTCGTCTGAAACATCCCATGCACCCTCAATGCTGCCGAGGAGGACCCCAATAGACACCTTCGTGAGAAGACCAGATGACTGGTCATCGGTGACAGCTCGGTGCTTTTTCTCCAGGGCCCACGATGTCTTTAAATCCCCAGCCTCCAGATCGTGGAGTGCCACTTTGTCGACAACAAAGGAACAGCCTGTGCTGCTCTGAGCTTATTGAGATTCATGCTGAGAGCATGGAAGTGCACGTACCTCGGACCTTCTCGCCAATTTCAATTACCTGCGAAAAGGTCACTCGACATCCTCTTATCCCGCCGATTTCGGGCCACTGGCCATCATAGTCGACAGCCTGCGCGACCACCGAAGCAAGGTCGGCGGCGGTGGTCAAGGTTATGACCGCATCTTCATGGCCGTCGACTGCAATTCCGCGGCGGTTCTGGAAGTCAAAAACAGTATCCAGCGGGTCGACGTGTCTCGCGGTCTTGTACGGAGACGCCAGATAGTTTAAGAACAGACCAGGCTGGAAGAGCGTATACTCCAGAACCTGTGAGGGTTCTTAGCATATATAAAGTGACTACAGCTGGGGGTTCCTCACTTTTCCGTTCTCGTTGACCTTTCTTAGATAATTTCGGATTTCTTCCTTGCCCGCCCACCAAGGCATATGGGCTGTCCCGGCACTGATAAATCCATGGTCAATAACTATCACGCTACGAGTAACGCTTATTTACCTTCCATATTCGCTTGGTGCGAAGCGCTTCACCTTCGCGGTGATAGCAGCGTCAATGAGGTTCTTCTGGGACTGGTTTGTCGGATCTGCAAGAAGTTGGACAAAAGACAGGAGAGTGTGTGTTCTTTTTAAGGCCTCTACCAAGTCCTTTTTGTTCTCGTAGTTGACAATTCGCCAGTGAACTCCGGACGGAACGCCATCCGCTGAACGAGTCTGTGGGTGGTGTCAGCTACATGTTCGCTGCAAAGATTAAGATATCAAAATATGAGAGGAAATTATGAAGCGACTGACATTTCGGCTGAAGACGGTGATCTCGTGCTTATCTGCAGCTACAAGAGCGTCGACAACTTCTCCAGCGACCTCTGGTGGTTACATAAAGTGAGCAGGACCCATGACAAAGTGTTAGAATATGCACTTACGCGGCGGAATGACTAAACACCAGCGGCTTTAACGCCGCACCACAACATCCGCCAACTCCGCCGCGGTTCTCTGAGGAATTCTCGCCTCGCTTTCATCCGGATCATCCACTGGTTTCCTAAAATGCCCTTGCAATTAAAACAAAATGGCAGAATCCAGCACAAGTATGGATAATACAGGAAAGTCACCCCCGCTCAAGCGACGGAAGGTTCGCAGTGGCACCCAAAGCTGCTGGGAGTGCAAGCGGCGGAAGACCAGATGCACCTTTGCGGCGCCCAACGAATCCGTATGCGATGGCTGCAGGAGCCGCGGGGTTAAGTGCATCGGCCAGGACTTTGATGATGGGGCAGTGGAAAAGGGTGACAAGGCCGGAGGCCGGAGCCGGGCTGAGACGGTGGCTGAGAGGCTGTCCATGCTGGACGCGAGCGATCTGAGCAATCCGAAAATTCAGGACGGCGAGGGCGCAACAGGAAAGAAAGCAGTGAGTATATTCTGTTGGCATATGATGTAGCCCCGCCTCTGACACGCCTTGCAGAGCTCCCCTGCGGACGCCAGGACAGACACACCCCAGGTGAACAAGAGACACAATGACTTGTGTCGAGCCCTCCTCGAGGTGTGGCCGGAACAAGAAGATCTAGATGTTATACTCGATGCCCCTGTCAGTACCTCGATACTGTTTCACGGCATAGTGTGCCAGCCCTACTCGAGCCTTCTGAGCAAGGCTATGCCGTCACCGCGAGAGATGCTGCAACTGTCTTCCATTTGGTCTCATCCGGTCTTGATAGCTCGCAAGCTATTGCTTCTGGCCACTTTCATGCAGTGCATCCCGACGGATGTTGTCCAGGACCTCGGTGCTCTTAGCAGCAGTTACAGATCGACCATGTCCCGCCTGGTGGAGACTGCATGCAAATAGTGACGAGCGACGACGAGCTCGTCAGCTCCCTCGAAGGAATTGAATGCATCATGATTGAGGCGATGTATCACAACAACGCGGGTAACCTTCGACATGGATGGGTAACTCACCGCCGAGCGATGACGATAGCTCAGATGCTAGGGCTTCACCGCGGCACGGCTGCATCTGCCACGTTGCTTGACGTCCGCAATCGAGGCCGTACCGACCCGGAACACATGTGGTGCCGTCTCATCATCTCCGATCGTTACCTCTCGCTGATGCTGGGCCTGCCGCAGGCCTCTCTTGAGAACCCATTCGAATCCCCACAGGCCCTCGAAAGTTGCACCCCCATGGAGCGAACGGAGCGAATGGAGTCAATCGTGGGTGGACTCATCCTGCAGCGTAACGGGGCTGATCTACATAACCTGGTCAAGACACAAGAGGCCGATAAACTTCTTCAGGAGGCTGCAGCCTCGATGCCACCCCAATGGTGGGTAGCCCCTTGCGTCGCAGCTGCCGCCGGCCATGAAAGCGAGGAGCTTTATGAGACCACCATCCGGCTGATGAACCAATTCACGCATTACCACCTGCTAGTGCAGCTGCATCTGCCGTACCTGCTTCAACCCTCAGATGAGAGGAAATACGATTATAGCAAGGCCACAGCCGTGATGGCCAGCCGGGAAATTCTCACGCGCTTCGTGTCGTTTCGTGGTTCGGTCTCGGTTGCGGCATACTGCAGAGGGGTTGACCTTCTTGCGTTCATTGCAAGCACGGTATTGACCCTTGTGCACATCGATGCTCGTCGCCAGCAGCGGGTTAGCGGAAGTGAATGCGGCAATGCTCTTCACATGGTTGCACACCAGCGGCTGAGCGACCGTGGACTGCTCGAGCAGACGCTCCAGTGTATTTTGAAGATGGCCGAGAGCGAAGAGGACGCTATGGCCTACAAGATCCCCATTATACTCAAGCAATTGCTCGCCATCGAAGACAATGCCGCCAAGGACGACTCGTACAGTACCACGATTTCTTCGGAGCCGGGAGTGCCGGAGTCACAATACGGTGACAAGGTAACTGGGGCGGATCACTCGCTGCCGATCCACGTCCCGTATTTTGGAACAATAAGGATCGAGCATAACAGTGTCTCAAGGCCAGTCGGGGTTGAGCAGGCACTTCTGGATAAAACCTCCCGACCCTCGTCGGTCCCGAACTGTTTATTCCACGACGGAGAGAACCCCTCTAAAGGTTCTTCAAGAAAGGATGGAAAAGAGAGACAGGGGTTGCAAGAACCATCGCGCAGCATGCCAGACCCAGCTGGGTACCGGATTGGCGGTGATTCAGCCTATGCTGACTGGCAGCCTGTGCCATTCCGCCTAGACTTGCTCGGGACAGTAGAACAGCCCGAATCAGAAGCCCGGGAACAGAGGGATTCCGACTTCAGCCAAATCGGACTTGACACGGCAACCTTGCTGGTTCCGGGACTGACAGCAGATGTAGATGATTGGGCGTTGCAGGGCGTGGATATGGCCTTGTTTGACAACCTGATTCGAGGAGCTGCGGAGCCGAGTGCGGACCCAGCGTAGACTATGGAGAGTCGAGCTGCTCGAACCCGACTGCTTGGAACAGGAGGGCCGCATTGCCAAGTGGAGGCTACTGGCGTCCGGGGAAGAGCACGCGGCGTTTGCAGCGCACACCTCCTTCGGGACAACGTCCTCTGGTACGACCTCCTCTCGGATAATACCCTGCCAAGATATGCAGTGGCTTGCAACTTGAGCATCCTTACTTCAGCTGGGTGTGCAGAAGACCGAGGAATACTCGCGGATGGGTAGATATGACCGTGGAGAGGCCGCAGTTGCCGCAGTGGAGTCGCCCCCGGGCTTGTTACTATGTGCCTGGCGAGACCCAGCTCCTGCGCAGCAACACCCTTCATTCAAGCAGACCGGACCACCACAGGCAGACAGGCCCGGGTGCCGAGTTGGCAAGTGGAAGCGACGATTCGAACATCAGCCCTACCGATGCGACCTGCAGATGCGTGTCACGACACGGCGGACACACGAAGGACATAGGGGGCCAGACCTTGCGTGCATCGCAGCTGTCTTGGACGCATGCAACTCGGACAGCCGCAGTGACAGGACTAGCGAACCTGGGGTGAGTGGTAGTCGGGGCACTAGATGCAGGCCAAGGAGAGTCAGTCGTTCAGTCAATCGATCCTGAGACTTGAATCTGAGAGAAGGACCGTGGTCCAGAACCCCGTTCCCCATGCAGGGTCGAGTGAGCTTGTCTACACTGTAAGTGATCGGCCAGGATGGCAGGGCCCCCGCTCTCCCCATCAGGCCATGGAGGGAGCCATCATGTTCTATTTGGCGGTTGTCGTCGGGCACAAGGAAGCAGCAGAAGCTTAACCTCGGCCACCAGTGGTCGGTAGTGAGCCGCATCAGCCAGATGCAGGCCTGGGCGATTCCAGCTGTCCGAAAGAGCACGGATCCGCACCGCGGCCCGCTGATTTGCTGCTTGGCAACCAGGGCTGTGAATTCGCGCGCGGGTTGTGGTAGCTGTGCCTAGTGCCTAGGTACAGTGGGTGGTGCAGGCGTTTGGGGTGAAGCAGAAGGGGGGCGGAAGGGGGCGGAATTGCAAGCATCTCGGATTGGCAGAGACTGACTCGGGGAATGGTGGAAGACTGGGGGCGTTTGTGGGGCCCCGTGGAGTGAGAAGAGTTGGGGTGGAATTCTCAACCTGGAAGGTCAGCCAGCTCCACTCGCTGAGCATTGTCCCGAACATTGGCCCTGGGCTGTTGAACTGTTGAGCTGGGTTGGGTTGGCACGACTTGGGTCTCGGTGTAGGATGGTACGAGTCCCCCCGGAGCATAACATCGCAGGTTGTTTGCATGTCGTTATAGTGGAAGCCTTTGGATTCAACCCTGGGTACTTCTTCCCTTGCTGTTGAGTTCCAAATCGTGCCTTCTCCTTCTGGCAGAACATCTGTGTCAGACTACCGACCAAGTTGGCCGACGGTCAAAGCGAATGATTTCATAGGTCATCAGAAAGTTGGGGTAGATGGCGGGGCAGCCCAAGTGGCTGTTGCAGAGTGCGGGGTCGCTCAAGCTCCAACCCCACTCGTTGGATCCAGACGTGCGAATTCCTCCCCTTGATTTATCTCAAAAGTCAGATGTCTTTTCACACGCGTGACCAGGCCTGCGGCCTGGCCGTGATATAAAGGCGCAGAATGGGTGGGGAGTTTGCATTAAAGAATTAATTACTATAGCACATAATGCCAAGCAAAGGATATGCATAAATTAACGCAACCTCCCCACCCATTTTAAGTAAAAAGGCTATGCCTTATTATAAAGCTATAGCAAAACTAATTATTAAGCTAGTTTTAAATATATATAAAAGATATTTAAAATTAAAACGCAAAAAAAATTAAATTTAAGTATTACTTTATATAAGAGCATAAAAAATATATTAAAAATACTTTATAATATTATTATAAAACTTTATATTTATACTCTTAAAAATCATTATTTAAGTTATAATTTTAAATAGGGATTTTAAAAATATAGTTTTTATCTTTTTTAAAGCAAAATTCATAAAGTTTAATATACTTAATTAAGAAACCATATTAAAAAGCGCTTTACTTACTATTAATTACCTATATCCTAATTATTAATAATAATAATTAAAAGTATAAAACTTTTATAAAAAACTTTTAATTAGCTATTAAGACTTATATAAATGCTAACTTATTTTTATAAGGCATTATTATTAATAAAGATAAGCATTTACTTAAAGGTTAATTTATTAAATAATTAAAGATTATTAATTAAAATCTTGCTTATTAATGCTATAAATATAATTAAAAGTATAATTAAATATTCTTTAGCTTATAAGGAATAAATAAAAGCTATTATAATTTTATTTAAGGGCTAAAATATTATACTTATTATAGCTATTAGGTATAAAAAGAATGCTTTATAATATGCATTTACTATACTTTAAAATAAAATTACTATTTACTTTATACCTTTAATAAAGCTTAAAAAGGAGTAAGTTAAAGATATTATAAAGAATATATAGTATATATATTTTATTTAAGTTAATATTAATTCTTATATATAAGTAAGTTTAATAGCATAATGCTAATTAAAATAAACTCTCTATTAAATTTAAATAGGAAGTTTATTAAAGAATGCAATATTAATATAATTGCAAAATCCTTAGATTTAGAAATAAATTAAAAAGGGCGATTTTATGCATATTATTATAAATTTAAAGCAAGGATAAAATTAACGCTTTAAAAAGCTTTTTTATAACCTAGCATTTAATAGCTAAGTAGGCATAATTATTATTAATAAAGTATATATAATTACTATATAAAGGAAGAGCTTTTAAACTAACTTTTTTTTTATTTATTAAATTAAAGAATTAATACCTTGCTAAATATTATTATTTGCCTATATAACTACCCTTAATTATATAAACTAAGATTATATTCTTAAGTATATAAGCTTAAATATTAATAATATAAAGATAATTTAAATATTAATTAACTATCCTAAACTTTTAATAATTATTTAGCTTTTTATTTATAAATATATAAAAAACTTTTAATGCCTATACTTCTTATTAAATAATGCAAATCCCCTTAACTTAATTGCTATTATAAAGAGTTTAGTATATATTAATAATAAGAATAAACTACTATAGGCTTATAAGTTACTTATTAAATATCTTTAAGAATATTATAGCTTTAACCTTTAATAAGCATTAAACTTTTTAAAATGCTTTAATATAAATATTTGCAAGCTAAATTAAAACTATGTATTTAAAGAGTTTAAAAAGCTAAACTTTAAATATTAAGTAATGATTTTAATTATATCTTTTAACGTTAGCCTTAATATTAATAATATTACTACTATTATATAATTTAATTTACTATAGCAACTTAATATATTTAATTCTTAGCAATATAATAAATATAGTATAAAAAAGCAATAATCTTAGGGGTAGTTTATTATATTTACCCTTGCTTATTAATTTAATTACTTAGGTATAAAGAAGATGCAATTACGCTAAACTTAGCAAACTTAATTATTTAATGCTCTTTATTATAAATAAGCATATTAACTTGCTTAACTTAATTATTTCCATAAAGTAATGCTAATAATAAATAGCATTATTAATAAAGACGGCAATAAAAGTAATATAAGGAGTATTATAAGTATTAAGTCTTAAGCAAGCTATAATTTTAATATTATAATTAATTTTATAACTAAGCTAATAAGTAGCTAAGCTCTTAGCATTATATCTTAAGATCTTTAAGATTTAAAATTAATAAAATAATCTTAATTTAAAATAAAGATATAAAATATATTAAATCTTAAGTATAAGGCATTTTTAAACTCCCCTTACTTTTAAGAATATATTATAGGTTTCCTTTAAGAACTAAATAATCTTATATTAAAGTATAAGCAGCTTATAAATGCATTTATTTATTGCAATAGCTAAGCTTATAAGGAAAATAGCTTAATATTTAAGCTTTCAGCAATTAACTTTAGCCAAACTAATAAGAGTATAAAGCTATATATTAACTTTATTTAATATATAGCTCTTAAGATCCTATTTTTATAATGCTTTATTAAAGCTTAGGATTTAGTGCTAAAGGCATGCCATTAAGGCTTAATTAGCAGCGAAATGTTTATAAAAAATATAATATAATAAGCTATTAACTATCTTTATTATAAGGCTTAAGCAAAGAAAGATTAGCTTAAAAAGGTTATTCTTTAGGTAAGCAATCTTAAGCAGCTTTTAAAAAAGGTTCTTGCCCTATATGCATAGAAATTCCTTAATTAAAAGGGCAATATCTTACTTAACTTGCTAAAGAATTTTATCCTAGCAATTTAAGAAAGGGCAAATATTCTTATTATTATTAAATATAATAAGCGTTTAATTAAAGAGGTATTAAAAGATATTAAAGCTATAAAGCAATTAAATATAGGTTTATAGATAAAATAATAGTATATAAAATTGCAATTAAGTTAACTTAATTAAGATTGGCAGACTCCTTATTATGTTTTAATAGGGAGCTTGCGTTACCTTATATTTACAGCCTAAAATGCATTGCCCCCATGCTTAATATTTATTAATCCTTCCTTAATAATAATAGTAATAATAATAATAGCAGCAATAATAATAATAATAGCAATAATTAATTTATTATAAATCCCTTAATAATATATATTTATTTAATTATTAAATTAATTATTTATGCAATAATATTTTATAATTCTGGAGTAATTAGTAGAAGAGGCAGCGAAGAAGGTAGTGATGTAAGTAATGGCGGCTTAAGTATATCTTACCTTTATGGTTATATTAGTATATATTAAATAGGCATTTAGTAAATGGGGAATTATTAATTAGCTTAAAGATGCATATAATATTAATTTTATTTTCTTAATTAAGCATCTTTAATAGTTTCTCTTAATGCTTATATGGAATTATATTAAGGCAAATATTCCTATAATAGCTATGCGCTACTTAATAATAAGGCTAAATAATTGGCTTATTAAAAAGTTATTAGATTTATT